AACACTATCCTCTTACTGGGGAGCAATGTTTGTTGCATGGGAATGTCATAATGTTGTCTCTCCATTCATTTGTGTTAAAAGAAGTTAGAACTTTCACAGCCACCTCTGGAAAATTACTAACAGGCAGAATATGGGAGGTAGAGACACGGCAATAAAAAGCCAGTTCTGCGTCGTTACAAGAACAGGTCATTAGACACACACAGCAGTTACAGGGAAGAAGGGGAGTTTTCTCTCCTGACTACCCTACTCATCCACAACAAGAAAACATCCAAAAAGTTGTTCCCTTTGAAAGCAACTCTGTCCTGAAAGGAGAGGTTACAAAGCCTGGAATATCTTTTTATAGACCCAGAAGTAATTAGGGAAAAAGAAAAAAGAAAAAAAAGACAAACCTTCAAGCACACAAACTCTCCTATGGGTTACTTCCTTACAAGCCACAGCTCTGTTCTGAAAGTATCTCAGATATAATAAATGAAGTACAATAGCTGTCATTTCAAATGGATCTTTCTATGTCCCCTCTCAAACAGAACCCCCGGTGTTATCAGACACAGTGCACAATTCCTCTTCACAACAGCTGAGTTGGAAATGAATATAGTATCTTAGCTCTGATATCTGTTTTATGTTGAACTGTGATAGCTGACAGATCTTACAGTCTCTAAATACAAGCCACTTGGAGAAAAAATAATTCACTCAAGCTTCTTCCCTTCCTCTAACCCCTAACTGGCAATCATGAAATAGAATGCTGAGTCTTTTCTATTGAAAGGAATAGGCATGAGAATAGCAAAGAATAGCTATAAATGTTTTCTTGGTTGTAGTCGCTATTTTTCAAAACTGCCTCCTTAAAGCACTCATTAAAATGGTGGTTTTGTAAAGTAGTGAAGCAAGGGAGTACAGATCAAAGCACTAAAACAAAAATGAAATAATTTTGCTAAGTTGAACTGTTGTCTTCCATGGTATGAAACAACCAGGGTGAGTAGAAATGTCAGAGTCCAATAAAAGCTCTGAAATTCCCTTTCTTTTTTTTTTTTTTTTTTAAAAAAAAAAAAGGTGTAAAAGTAGTAGCAGTTGAACTCCCAATATCTAGGCCAAGTACTTTGCACCAAACTCCCTGGTACAATACTACCAGCCTGGCAAGGACTCACAACACAGCAGTCCTTACCCAGAGCCTCAGGCTGGTCAGGACAGTCCTTTCTGCCTTTGGCCCAGAGCAAAGCTGAACCACCTGCTTTGCTTGCCAAAGGCTCTCAAGGTGTGTGCTACCAGATGCTGGTTAAAGCATGGAAATATGACAGTTTGACAGACATGGGCCATCTTTGACTACCCCCCAGCTACACATCTGCTGCACACTGCAGCCATTCAAATCAGAATGGAGACCGTCGTGGCAACCTGTGCTCCAAAGTGAGAAATTTTAGCTGCATTAGCTGCAGATATTATCACCAGCCATCTCTGTGATACACATTTTTAAGCCAACAAGCATTTTACCTCACAGACATTGGATTTATCTCAAAAGTCTTGCATGTAATGGAAATAACCTGAAGTTCTGATAAAAAAAAACAAAAAACAACAGACATACTTCACTAACAATAATTTTAATAAGCTGCTGACTTAAGCATTATTGTGCAACATTTATTAAAGGGAAGAATGAAAATAGAGATGTGAACACGGGTTAATTACTGGATATTTTTATGTATAGAAGAGAAGTAGTAAAGTTTAAAAATAACATATATAACATACACATACTTTGCAAGCCTGTCTAGAGGCATATTTAAGTTTGTTTTAAATACCCATGATCACTCACCCCTTTTAGCACCTGGCAAAAACAAATTCCATAATTTTAATGGCAGATCGTTCTGAACTTGACGAGTCATTTCACCATTGCTAATAGACATGGGAAATACTCTGAATTTCTATTTTTGCTTCCAAAAGCAAAGTATCTCCAAGACCATTCCTTTCTCCATTGCTTTTACCACTCCTTTATCTCTTCCTACTCTCTAATTTGAATGCTAAAAATCCAGCGTGCATAAAACTCCCAAAGCTCCATAGGAGTAGAGAAGTACATACGTTTTATACATGGGTGGCTTTGCTCAAACCCACAATTCAGGCAAAGGGTTTTAAATGGAACACGTAAGTTCCAATACCAACGCAAATTCAGTCATTGTGATACATGGCTTGTAAGTCTCATTACAACAGAAATAAAATATTCTTTTCACAAAGGTTCTGCTGAATACAAGGCAGAGTACTCTGCTCAATAGGAAGTCAAAACGGAAGGGAAAAAAAGCTGAAAACTCGCATTACAGGATGCAACTGAAATATGCACACTCCCCTCAGGCCTTGAGCCAGAGCGGCTGCCAAGCCTTAGCGTAAGAAACTCCACCCTCTTCTGCAGGACTAGTTTGGAAATTCCTGACAATTACAGGGACCAGCAACCCAGATGAGGCTGGCAGGAACAGAAGAAATAATTGACAAATTGTTTATATATCTTGGTCACTGAACACCACTGACTCAGGCTGACATTCAGACTCCCTTGTGAACGGTGCCCTGAGCACAGCTTGCTTGGCTGTCTGTCGGCAAGTTACCATACAGCTCAGGGATTTTAGAAGTTCCCACAATTTAAAGCTAATGAGGCAACAAATGCTTTCTAATCCTAAGTATTTCATTAAAAAGTGATTTGGAAAATCTGCAAAAGTGAGTCTTCATCCCTTCTTTTTTCCCTTATTCCCCCTCATCTCTAGGAAAAAGCACAGTTAATTTCAGCTCCCTCACTGAGACAGTTCCATATTCATCTACAACAGGAAGGGTGGCACTTCCTGTACACCCTGGGATCTGAGCAAAGGTCGGATGCAAATGACCACAAACCCTCATGCAATCTGAAGTAGGGCATTTCACTCTGTACCAGAATAGGTGTGTTTGGGTATTTTTTAAGCTATTATGCAATCCAGTCATATTTACCTACCTATTTCCCTGTTCTTTGCATCAGCACCGAAACCACTTTTTGTAGTAAAACGATATGTCTTTTGAAAAAAAACTATACAATTATTATTGCCTCTGAAGACTGAAACCCTACATAGAAGTTTGACCTAGTCAACTGCTATGTATGCCGGTCCTGGCTGATTATAGCATCTCCACACAAATCAGCTCCAAGCATGTGAATAGTTTGAGAGAACCCATGAAGTTGTCCTGGGTACTTAGATTCGTCATATGTGAGACTCTTAGAATCATTAAGTTGCTGAAATCCGAATAGGAGGCAAGCATATTCCACACATTGCAGGACCAACTGACAGAAGAGTTTGAAAGAGCCAAACAGAACATTTCACATGTTTTCCCTATACCTAATGCTCCCTGTCCCCAGAGACACCAAGGTGCAAGTCCGCAAGGAAATACTGCCATCCTAATGAAATCACTGCACTTGTCAGCTGTGCATGAGGCTGAATGTGGCCAGTGATATTTAAGCATTCCTCTGAATCTGCTCGTCTTTCCTCACTATCACAATTTGTTTTGTGCAGAAGCTGGCTCCCCAGTTTGTTGATACTAAGCACTGGACTAAGCTCTGCAAGCATTCCAGCACAGGATGCTTTTGAAGTGGCCTTGCCAGTGGTTTGCAGCAAATCTGAGGGCAATCTGGGAGAAAGCAGTGCTTGTTTGGGGTGGGGAAGATGGGGTTATTTGAAATTGGGAACGAACGAAGGTGAGAGACATCCTATCAGTAAAATGGGGAGAAGAGAAACAGGATGGCATAAACCATGGTGTGTGGGTCTGGAAATACATTTAATGTGATGGAGATAGGAAAGAGAGATGGAGAATGGCAAATAAAGATAACTGAAGCGTGATGACTGGTAACCCAGCATCCATATCCTACATGGGCAGAGCAATTCCAGGAGAGGAGATACTGAGGGAGGGCCTCCATGAAGCTGTAGAGATTAAAATGATACTGCAAGGGGAAAAATGAAGGACAGCAGGGAAAGAAACAACAGGAGGTTTGGGGACAAACTACTGAGGCAAATACAAAGCTTAGAGAAGACTAAAATAAGATGAGTGCATATGTACCTGGAAGAGAATGAAAACAGGCAAGTTATGACAGGAAGATGCTCAGTAAGTATTGGACCACTCCTCCTCTGTTGGCACTAATGGATCCTGAACAGAGAAGAAGAAAAACAGAAAAGGAGAGGGGTCTGAGGAATGTCTCCGAGACAGCAAGTTGCAGGTGAATGTAAGCATAGCCCTCCTGAGGGTGATCATGAGTGCTGGTAGGCAGGCAGATGGCAGAACTGAAGAAAAGAACAAACCTGCAGCAGAGGAAGTCTGCCTGGTCATGAAATTTCCTCCAGGGGCTCTCTATGGAGGAAGAGTAGGAGTAGAGGAAGCAGAGGCTGGGACAAGGAAATGGAGCCTTTGAGAGGAAAGGAGTAGGCAGGACAGTTAGTATGACGCAGAAGGGCTGTGAAGTGGGAGCCATGAATGACAGGGACAAGGCTACAAAAGAAACTACTGTGAAAGCTGTCCAGCTAAGCAGCTCAACTGCATTATCCCCCCTGGGAGGAAAGGGAAAGAAAACAACCAAGGTCATGTCATGCACAGCTTATTACAAACACTAGGCACATACAGTGATCGGCACTGTGCGCCATGATAACCTGGTGTGAGTGGAACACCTGGCTAGGGGACAAACTGCATTCATTCGCTATTAATTAGAAGTCCATCCAGATCTGAATTTCTGCCAAATTCAAGAATCTGTGAGGGCTGGGATTTCAGTTCCAGCCCATTTTTATCAGTTAAAACAAAAAGAAAATGAAACGTGGCTGCTCAGATGACAGAAATTCCAAGAAAATACATATTTGTGGCTTATCTGTGAGCAGTTCAGAGGCTTAGCTAACCAACACAAAGCTAAGCCGATATAAACAGCTTTGAAGCTAGCAGATTTCCTTATTATTTCACAACATAAACTTATTTCCAGAGTCACTTTTACTGGAATGCAGATTACCCCAGTTTCTCTCTCCCAGCCTCCTTACCTCCTCCTCCAGTTTCACCACCTTGGCCTGAGCATTGTTCAAGGCCTGGTCTCGGATCTCAATGTGTCTTCGCTGGTCTTCATTGGTGGAGCGTGCAGCAGCCAGTTCTATTTCCAGTTTCTCCTTTTCCCGCTGTGTTTCTTTGTCTACCAAAAGGAAGTGAGAGTTACCAACAGAAGGCACTCTTCTCTACTCAACTTTCAGGAGTTCTTTACTTCAGAGGTGAAGGAAAGATGGGGCAACTTCTCGCAAGACACAGAACGCAAATCTATTGCTTAAGGGATAAAAATTATGTGGCTTTCAAGGAAGAATTTGTAACCCTGAAAAACAAGCATGTTACCTTCAAGTAACAATATGCCACAATGCTAGCATGGAGGAATAGAAGATGTATCACTCAGTACAGTTAGGTAATTTGCTCTGATTATACAGATGGTTAGCAAAACTTGGCACCTCTTCACCTCTGAGCTTTCAACACTAGAAAACAAACTGGGTAGTTTTAATATCCCTGGCTGGGGAGGATAGATGGTAAGCTTTTGTGACTGAAGACGTTGTACTCCTGCTTATGGACATGGTGTGAAGAAAAGGTGTTCTGCTTGGGGCAGTTGCCCACCTTCTCAAGAGAACATGCACTCACCCCACTTGGCAGTCAGCTTCACCAGAGGAACAAGCAAGGAAAACTCCTTGGTCCTCCTCTACTGCCCTTAAAATCATTTGGGCCAGGACCTACGCACCTGTATTTGTCCTATCACTACTTAAAACACACCTGCAGTTCAACAAAGCTTTCTGCACAGTACTGAGAGCTCATGCTTAGTGCTCTAAAGCCACTCCAAGCACAGTGGCTGGTCACAGAATCACAGGAGTTGGAAGGGACCTCTGGAGATGACTGAGTCCAACCCCCCTGCTAAAGCAGGTTCCCTGTAGAAGGTTGCACAAGAAAGCATCCAGCTGGGTTGTGAACTTGCTTTGGCAGGGGGGTTGGTCTCGATGATCTCCAGAGGTCCCTTCCAACCCCTACAATTCTGTGATTCTGAATAACTCCAGAGAATTAGACTCCAGTCTCTCTGACAGCCTGTTCCACTGCTGTCACCCTCTAAGCATTTTCTCATGTTCACATGGAATTTCCTCTGTTCCAGTCTGTGCCCATCATGTTGTTGAGCTCCACTGAAAAGAGCCTGGCCCCATCCACTTGATACTGCCCATTAGATATTTATGTAAACAGTGCTGAAATCCCCTCTCAGCCTTCTCTCCTCCAGACTGAACAGCCCCAGGTCTCTCAGCCTTTTTTTGTACAGGAGATGCTCCAGGCCCCTCTTCATCTTTGTGGCCCTCCACTGGACTCTCTCTTGGCCATCAGGGATCACTGCTTGCTCATGGCCATCCTGTTATTCACCAGGACACCCAGGTCCTTCCCTGCAGAGCTCCTTTGCAGCAGGTCAGCCCCTAACCTGTACTGATGCATGCACTTATTCCCTTTCTGCTGCACTCCAGAAAGTGCTGGACATAGTGGGAGTGCCCATGCTTTGTGTGTCAGGAACAGTTTAACTGCTTTCATTAAAAAAAAAACAAACAAAAAAACCCAAAACATGCAGGATAAAATAACTTGGAACTGATGAAATTATCACACAAGAGTGTAAAGCAAAGCCACAACACAAAGCTGATGTCCTCTGCCTAGGCTGTCATTCCCAGCTCATGCCAACCAGCTACAATGATAACATTAACATACTCACTGGATACATAACCACAGAATACTCCCTGCAGTGATCTACACCCAGCACTGACAACACCAGAGAAACTACATTCCAGAAAGTAATATCCCACGACAAAGGAATGAGGACAAGGAGAGTAAGGCTTGAAAAACAGGAACTAGATTCTGGGTGTTAGGACAGACTGCATATGGAGTACACAGGCACATTTGTGCAAGCATGTGCATAACTATATTTACAGAACCACAATTACTCCCTTCCTTCTGCCAGCAGAAGAGCCAAGAGCAAAGCTTTAGCAATACAGAACAGCTAAAGATTCCCTTTTGCTAGGGAACTGATGCAGCCCACACATAGGTTACAGAAGAAACCTCTCAACCAGCAGCACCTCAGAGCTCTGCATTGCAAATTCCAACTGCAATTCAGAGCTAACCTTGGACATAAGAGACAAGGATAAAGGCTAATGCCAGTACCAGCCTATTCTGTTCAGTTCCCCATCTTTCCCATCCTAGCACTTCTCCTCCACCCAGGAAATGAGCCACTGACAGTGTCAGCATGTTTAAAACGTATCGCAGAAGATGGGCAGAGATGAGGTAGGGTGGCATTATGCCAGAAGGTATCAATCAGTGCTGGCACTCTGTTAATCTGTAAGTGCTTGCAGCAAAGCTTTTGGAGGTTTTATTCCAGATTTTTCTTCAAATGAGTTCTGCCTCACCAACAAGTGCCTACAGTATCCCAAGAAATGCTGGGATCGATAAAACACAGCACTAAGCTTTCCACATGCATCCAGAAGTAGAAATGGCACCTAAGGCTTCACAGCTTTGGCCTTCCCACCTCCCTGGGCAAACCTATGAAATCCTAAAAGCCAGAGTACAATCACAGATTTCCCACTACCACCAGGAGAGCAGAACCCACACACTGACAGCTTTTTGCTTGCAATGTAAGCCAGAAGGAATAAGTTATAGACAACACAAGAGGGGGGATACCATCATCTGTCAGAGCAGAAGCAGCTCGTGTTACGTCATAGAAAATCACTATTTTGCAATGTTACTTTCTATTGCATTACCTTTATATAACAATTGTGAAAAAGTAAGCATTGTCAGAAGGGTGGGGCGCAGCACGGAATGAAAGGAAAGTTGGCTCGCTGCCATCAGCCTTGAGACATTTTTGTACAAAGGAAAAGCAGCATTTCACATCTGTCATTTTGGTTTGCCCTGTGATAAATCCACTGCTGCACACAGAATTCATGACACGCAGCACAACATACTGCAGGCATTTTTAACTCCCCCTGCTTGTGCTGAGCCGGATAGTGAGCAGCAAATTAAAGAGGAGAGAGAGATGGGAGACCTTCAGGGTTCCAGTCCCACTGTCCCTAAGTCATGCCAGGATTTTTGGCAGTCTGGGAAGGTTTAATTCCAAAGCTTTCAGGGAAGAAAATAGTTGCTCAAACTCTATTACACATTATGGAGTAAACACTATTTTTACAACGCAACCGTACACTACATTTGCTCCAAAATCTCTAGCAAACACCATCAGATAGACTGTACATACTGACAGAAGAATCATTCTTAAATTTGTCCTCCTCTCTGCACTGCCAGTTTTGGACTGCCAGTGCCCCAGTTTCAGTCCTGGTAGGTCAGATCTGTCAGTTTCCTACATTCATCTGCTGCATGTTTATCCTTTTAAGAGTGACCAGAGCACTCCTAATGACCTATAATGACTGTATAACTCACTTTGTGCAAAGAGTTGAGAGATGGTTTTCCGATTGTCTTCAGACCCCTCAAATTCCTTCTCCGCAAGCTGCTTGTTGGCTGTCTCCATGCGTTCTGCAGAATTTGTCAAGAGAAGAAATGCTAAAGAATCAAAAAACTTTCAAGCATTAAAGACTCGCAAGCTCAGGGAGTGGATCTTCTACACAGTCAAAAGTGAAAAGACTATCAAAAGCTGCCACTCATTTCTTAAATGTTTCTAATTACATCCTTCAGAAAATATTCTGAAGGAGACAAAACAGATTAAACAGAGTTTAAAAAAATCCTTTAAACAACTGTAACCTAATTTATGTTTGTTTTTTTCTATTTTTATAGATGTTGAGATTCTCTATAGGATTCAGTATGAAGAGCTGATACATTTCAGTCTTCTGTGTCATAAATTTCATAAAAAATGGTTTCAAAAATCTCTTCAAATAAACTCATTTTCCCACACAAACAAATCTCCCCACGTAATTAAAAGATTCCCTTATAATCCTCCACTACATCTTAATAGTTTGAAGATTAAACCACTGTCGTCTAATTACCTGACTTCAGAGAAAAACATAAAATCCCAGGGATAGATTAGCAGTTCTGCTGCTGTAGGCTACTAGAAATTTGTATCAGATTATGAAAATAAAAATGAAATATTTATGCAGTGTTTTATTATGAATAAAATTATTTAATGTGGGCCTTTGTGTACTGTCTCTCTCACTAGCACTGGGCAATTTATGGCCTCATATTTTGGATGCATATTATTTAGCTTCTGAAAACGTGATCTTACTCCAAGACTACAGACAGAGAAAGAAGATGACATGTAGGACAATCAGATGGCTTTCGGAAAAAAACTAAACGTACATTTTACAAGACCAATTATACACTTTCACAGATCTAACATTGCAGTTGTTTTTCATCTTTCAAACTAATGTTAAAAACTTTGACTCATATTAAGGTCAAATACCATTCAACACCGCTCTCCACTGCCAGCCATTTTGCAGCCTCAGCCTCTTAGCAAGAACCAGACACTAACAACATCTCACTTTGGAAAAGGGATCCAAAAAAACAGATGCCTATGTTGATAAGGAATGACAAGACCTTCAGGAAGAACAGACACTGCAATTTGTATGTCAGTGCAGAGAGGTCATTGGACAGGAAATAAAGTGAACATGCCTGGTGTGGGATTAGGCAGTCAGCAAAGCATCTTCCCATTTGGATAAACTGAACAAATTGTACAAATTTTGTCTAGGATAATAAGACAAGAGAATTCCAGGCCTGCATCTGGTTTATGGCATTTGGCTTATCACATTTCTTCTCAATGAGAAACAGGCTAGAAATGAGACACCAGCACTCTCCTAAACCTGTCTTCTCATACTCTCAGCAAATGCTTAAAATCCCAGACTACTGAATATACCCGAGTATCCAGTCACATCCAACTGCGTCAGCAGACACGACGACTCCCATGGCAACACACTGGCTTGATGAGTAAGAACAACAGTAAAAATACAATACTGAAGAAAAGTTTTACTTCATTCACCTCTCAGATCCCTGTTGAAATCATGAAGCCTACGAATTTCTCCTTCCAGCTTGTTTCTCATGGCCTTCTCCAGGGCATCCCGCTTAGAGGATGATTTCTCCAGGTTTTTGTATGCCTCTGAAACTTGCTGAATTTCTGTTTCCAGCTGCAGTGGAAGTGAAAACAAGCACACACTATTTTATCACTTACAATTCGTTTCATTTAATCTCAGAAGAGATTGCCTTCTCTTGTTTTCTTTGTTGAGATAAAATGCAGCTACACATCAAACGAAATGACAGAATCTCATTTTCTGAGGGATCCTCCTTAAGAATACCAGTGGCTGGAACAAAAATCTGGACCCTGCTTCCAGTCTCTAGTTCTACTTCCCCAACACAATCAGAGCACTAATACAGTGAACTGAAGAAGTGCAAATGTCATCTACTTTTTTTTTGTATGTCCAGAACTGTTTGATACTAGTATCAGTTTGGGCAAAAAAAAAGAAGATATATACTGAAGAAATAGCTAATGTGATACTGAGTTGGTTAAATAAAATAAAACAAGAAAGTCAACCTATAGTAAAAAATGCTAGTAGCAGATCCTACACTGCTGATGAACTCTGCTGATCTGTAATTGTTACAGTCCAAAATTCACAATAAAACCTCCTGATGTTCTATGATTACACTTCCACATCTTAGTTGTATTTTAAAATATTCCATCTACGTAACTTGGGGGTAGGGTGGAACAAAGGCACACATAAACAACTGTAGTAAAATAAGTTTTCTCCTTCCTTCTAGCCTTCAGTGTAAAGCTGCTTGATTTAAGCTGCAGCAAGCAGCTGATCACCCAGAGCAGGGGAACATTCACTTCTAACTCTCCTTGCCAGGCACAGCTTTGCACTGCTACAGAAGTATGGATGCACGTACTAAGAGATCAATAGGGGCATGGAAGGGAAATCATTGGTATCCTTCTTTCATTATCAGGAAGCAGTCAAACATTTGTCTAAAGCATTTCCTGGTGAGGAACCTTCCAAATAAAATACAACACAATGAACATATGTCCCTGGAAAGAGGCAACGTAGAAAATAAATCAGCGTGGGAAGCCACACTGGTCATCTGAACTCAAACAAGTGTTTTAATCAGACACACATTTTTATGGTCCTGGAGACTGCTCAGTGCAAAGAGCACAGAAAGGCCCACAAAGTCCTAGGCTACAAGCAGCATTAGCCTTTTCACAGCTGCAAAGCAAAGCAAGGCTGACTGGCTGTGCAACTTTAAACTGTTGGTCATCCAGAAGTTATTTCTAAAAGGCTGCAATGAAAATATCCCTCAAGCTTATTAGTGATGGCTCTCATTGGAGCTTTTTATTACTGTTTTTAATGTACGGGAGAAGGGCTTTATCATCACCTATTCTACTTGTTCCATAAAGCCAAAGGTGGTAAATAGCTTGATCCAAAGAGACTTCTAAGTTTTCGTAGCAGTTGTGCAGTACTGAGGGAAGGCTGTTTAAGTGACTCCAGTGACAAAGTGTTAGTTTCAGCCCTGCAATCTCCAAATGTCTCTAATGTAGCCATAGCAGCAGTACTTCTCCTGCACTATGTCCTGCCAGCCAGTTTCGCAGTCATGCTCCCTGTTGTCTACTTGTGTGACCATGTACTCAAGTCAGCTCAGATGAACCCTTCCCACAGTCTCTAAACTCTTTCAAACTGATGGGAAAACAAAGTCTGCTGCTATCCTGGAAATAAAAACACTAGCTTTAATTAAGCAAGCCACGCAGCCAGCCTATTTGAGACAACTGATGAGGATGCTCTTTTGAGCATGGTCAATTACCTGTCAGAATAAAACTGAAGGCTTTGATTCCATCTTCCGATGAAGTTAAGGACTGCCCAAAGGGACAGGATACAATTATTCTATCTACATATAAAAGACTGAAGTGGATACATCAATCCCTTAAGCAAGCAACGTTAACAACTGCAGATTAGATTATTCAATTATGGATGATACCAGACACAGGAGAGTGTCTGACATTCAAGAACACCCACCTTCTGCAGCCGGGCTACCTTCTCATAACACCCATCCAGCTCCTGTCGTAGAGACCGGTTTTCTTCCGACAGGATTTCCACCATTTGCTGGGCCCTGGAAACTATGGCAAAAGGATCTACTTGCATTTGCTGATATGGGGAAGGTATCTGCTGAGCCCGGGACATCACTGAATAGGAATCGCCTTGCTGCTGCTGCGGGCCAAGGAAAGGCTGGCATAGTCGGTACAAATCTCCCTGATGGACTTGGTTTGACAAGAAAGGCTGCTGGGTCCGTGGCAGAATGCCAGGATCTCCCTGGCTTGGAGTCAGGGGTTGCTGGTGCTGGGAAGGGGACAGCCTGGATGGTGGTGGAGACTGAAGCAAGGTCAAAGATCCCAAAGATGTCAAGGAAGAAGTTGGACTGTGATGGTGAGGTGGTCTCTGTTGTAACTGCAGCTGTACATCTGGGTTCTGCCTGGAAAACAGAGAACAGAAACTCCATCAAAGTCACATAGATGATGCATGAACCAAGTGATAAAGGCATGAGCTGTATAGCTCCTATTCACAGGTATTTCCACATAGAAACCTCTCATGTTCAGGGCTTTGAATATACACTTGTTTAAATAAATGCTTCAAAAATCAATCTGGTACCAGAAAATCAATTCTAAGTATGTGATGGTCGTAATCGTGTGTCTATTTTATATAGAAACACTAAGAGAAATTCCATCAGCAACCACTGGCAAAAATTATTTTTACAACTTTTTTTCCACACACTGTGAATAAAATGGCTGAGCTGAGGACTTCTCTTTTGTCCTGAAAAATGCAATCTCTTAAATAGAAAACAATTAATCTTCTTCAGTAATTAAGGATACGAAGTTAAAGGAATTGGCTTAGCTCCCTGTTGCCAGGCCAGCACCAGTGGTGCAAGCTTTCCCAAGCATCAACCAACACGCCTGGTCAAATCAGACAGTTAAAGGACGTGAAAACAAACCTAAGAGTCAGAAGGAGCCTTTTGTCCAACGTACCAAGTGTGCTCACTGTTCCTAACAGTAACGTCCAGAGGATATCAAGCACAGATCTAGACATCTGCAACACGCTTGCAGAGAACTAACTCCAGCTCACGTTTCATGGACTCTGGAGATCCCCATTTTAAGCTCTGCTATTGAAAAAACCTTTTTTAGAAACCGTGGATTTACCGTACTTGGATGATCTCAGAGGGCAGGCTTTGCTGCTTCTTCCCATGACATTCAATCTCTAACTTCTCTAGACATTCTTTACACTAGCAGCTGAGGTCTACCCTCTCCAGCCAGTCTCTTCTCAAGCATAGAACTCAGGCTGATGCAGACCCACTCTGGCAGTTCAGTTCTGCAGTTCTGTTCTGATAAAATTTCCTATCCTCTGGGCTGCAGTTGAACCCTGCAGCTGGAAAAGTACACACTGCTCCACCTGTCTGGAGCTGCTGCAGAATACCCCCATGGTTGTTTGTGCTCACAGGAAGGACCCTACGGAATGGCTGTGCTGAGCACACCAGGGATACTGATGTTCACAGCAGCCCCCAGCACTGCTCTCCCACCACACCAGGAGGGTTAGCCATGTGTCAGTTAATGGCAGCAGATGTGGACCTGAACTGGAAACCAAAGGGTTACACAACGGGCTTCTCGGCCTATGTGCAAACACTCGGCATCATCCTTCCTGTCCTGTGCAGAGCGAACGCATCAACTCTTCATACCCGTCCAAAGAGGAAACGTCTGTATTACTCACATCTGGCTGCCAGTGCACGTAGGAGTCAATACGTTCTCAGGCAGGGTTCACCATTTCAGAGCTGCATCTCATTTTCCCTGCTTTCCAGCAGAGAAGGTGCAGAGAAACCCTCAAGGTGACATTCAAGTTCTTTAATGGGGAAACAAACCTACTCATTCTCACACTTGGGAAGAAACAAATAATTACTGCTCTAGTTACTGTTCTTCCCTTCCTCCCACTCAGGTGACTGTGGCCCCCAACAGCATCATCATTTCAGGAGCTGCATTTTCCCAGGAATGATTACATGTGGCACAAGGATCTCAGGGGTTACGCATAAGACAGTTGTGCAAGTAATTTCCTCAGGAATGTTCAAATTAGTAGCAACAATTTGGTTCTTCCTCTCCTGGCAGGTCAGCCCCACTTAATGCATTTATTTCATTACTTTTATTCATCAGTTCTCACAACGAAGAATAAGGCAAAAACCAACACAGGATGTGCTCAAGGTCATCTAGTTTGTCTCAGATGGTTTCCAACACCGTTCTCAGCTCACTCAGGTTAGTTAAAACTTTGCATCTTCACACACTCTCCAGTTCCTCCAACTCTCTCTTTACATGATGTCATGTTCCTCTGATTTTTTAATCAATTAAGGACTAATCTTGTTGTGACAATTAATCTGTGATGGCCTGCAGAGGTTAGATCAAAATACATATGTTGCCAGTCTGCCTCCTGGCTGAAAACAAACCTTTCCCATTTTGAATCCACAAAACTCTTTTTGAAAACAACTTGAAGCAGTTATTCAGATAGGATTAACCCAATCTGCATGTGCTGGTAATATAAGCCTGGGGACTCTTTAGATAGGGATGCTGACAATCTGGGATATTTCAGTAAATGCATCTCGTCATCCTGCCATCAAAACCTTGCTGTTTCCACAGCATCCGAGCCCTAAAGAGAGGAACTCAAAGGAAAGGAGGTCGAAGATGCAACAGTGGCAGCTAAATTCTGAAGGGACCCTCCTTGTACTGACATGCTCAAAAACAACTTTAAAAAAAAATATCTATTGTAAAGAACTCCAGGAAATCATGGCCAACTATTTCTAAACAAGATATATTTCCAACATTTCCAGCATTTTGGCACTCACATCCAAAGCCTCTCACATCTTCAGAATACAGCAATCTCGCAGGTTCAAGCTACAACATGAGAGCTGGAAGCCCCAATTTTCTTGCATTACCAACAGCTTCAGAGTTTCCAAAGTGACACAAATTCCCAGCAAGATTATCCAACAGGGCTGATACAGCCCATGTTTAAAAGAAATATTTCCCAGTAACCCCCCAGTGACGTCTCAGCCTTTTAAGATCTTCTATGAAAACCTTCATCTGCACATTTACAGAACGTTTTAGCATCCTCGCTACCTTCAATTCTGTCTCACAAAATACTTACATACGTATTCTTCTCATATATATTCTTCTCATATATACACTTCAAAATACCCAGCTCTGAGACCCTTCCCTCAGATTAATGTGAGAATTGTGGAGTTTATTTAGGAAGGCAGATGAACCCAATGGTACTGCTTGAGATTTTTTTAAGTCAGAGTCCTAAATCTTCAGGTACAAATCACTCCTGGGGTCACTTCACAGAACTGCTGATAGAAAGGTAGCAGAAACTCTTCTACATGAGAGAAACTGTCCTCAGGTAACCTGCAGCAGTAATTGCAATTATATCATGCAAAAATGCAGACAGACTCTTGAAATACTTGAAAAACAAAATTACTCAGTATCTTTCAATTTGCCTTGCTGTCATAAACACCTCAAACCCTGAAAACAACCCTGCAATAATTCCTAGAAATGTTTAAGCTTGAGAAAAGAACTTCAAGGGCCACTTCATTTTGAATGCTATGACACAAGAATCTCCACTTCCTTTACAGTCCCTGGCAAACACTGGAGAAACACGCCACGCAGGCCAAGTACAACTGTGGATTTATGGCTCCGCAACTACAAGGGTCACATTAGCTTTTAAGTCACAAAGATAGAGATACGGCTCTGCAAGCAAACCCAGCCAACAGGAGTGCAGAGGCTGCCAGGATTACAGGAACCAAGCCATGCAGAAGATCTATGCACAGAGGAGCAAAGCGGGGAGGGCAGAAAAATGAAGAGAGCGGAAAAGGTCTCTGGCTTGTTAAAAATCATTTTTGCCTTCCCAGCTTCTCCTGCTACATCAGGCTCAAGCCATCACGGGTCCCCATTGCCTCCAGCCCTCCCTGTGAGCCAGGACACAGAGTGCAGGAGGGAGCAGGCTCCGCTCAGCCAGGCGGCTGAAATCAAACTGATGCGGTTTTGTTCTGCCTCCATGCCGCACCTGATTATCCCCGCTTTGATGCTGCTCGGGGGAACGTGGGACACAGAAGGGATTTACTAATTATGGGACAAACTCTTAAAAAGTTTCTGTGCAGTCAGCGGGATTAATCCCAGCAGCACTCGGTCACTTGGGCGGGGGATGGCGCTGGAATCGGAGGCAGCAAGGCTCCTCAGTGCACAAGGCTGAATCCAACCAGCCCCTTCATCCCAGTTCTGCCATGGGGGACACGACCGCTGCACGCTGAGGCCAGGGCTCCTCTTAGACCTGAACGTTCGTGGCATCACCGGTGCTTAGGTACAACGGAGATGTTAAGGAGAGAATGGGATTCTGGAGCTTTGCATGCAGCCAGTCCTCTTCTGAACTTTACAATTTCCAAATAGCAGCGCAGATGCCGCTGGCATGCCCAGTATTTACATTAAACCAACACTGCTACGAACACATACATGTTCCCAAACTTACGCCGCCCAGGAGCAGGTGAGGCAAACTGTTTGCAGACTGGTTTAAACTTACCACACAGCCCATTCCTTTCCCAGAGCGGGGAGGGTGAAGCATGAGAATGTCGTGAATTCCCCAATGTTTATCTTGCTCAACGGGTTTTATTTAACCGCATCGTTAGGTCACCCTCAAATTCCCCTGAACAATGAGGGGAAAACCCGCAGAAAAGGGTGTGGCTTTGCCAGCAGAAAGAAGGGGCTTTGTTTCCTTGCCGTGCAGTTCAAAAAATGCACACGTTTACCAATCCCAATTAATCCTGATAAACAGAGCTGCAGCCCAGGAAAGCTGCAGCGGCTGAAAATACTTTATCGCTGCAGAGGGGCTGCAAAGACGCACTGTCAGGTGCCAGGCAAACACACTCCTCACAGTCATGTGCCTTTAAAATGCTCATGCCACTGCCAGCTGCACCTTCGGTAGCAGAGAAGATTTCTTGTCTAAATGACTGTTTCTCTTAATATGGGAGAGGACTCGCTCCCTTCCTTCACTACGCCGCTCTGTAATTTATGGATTAGTCTTGCAATTGTTCTACTGCTTCAGCATTCGCTTGCAAAGGAAACCTCTTCTCTGTACAGCTATTTAGGTTAAAAAGTAACCTCATTAGATTCCTAGTGCTTTGAAGACAAATTTCAGTTGCTTCCCCTACTGGAAACCTCGCCAGCTGAACCTTTCTCCTCCTCCCCCCTCTTTTTTCCAAGCAGCCAGGATCCATCCAATACAGACAAAAATCACCCTGTCTAGAGGAGCTGACTGTTGGCATGTTTTCAAATACCTCTCCCTTGCACAGCAAGCAGGCAATGTCTCAGACTCACTATATTAAATATTAGGAGCATTTATGATGCAGCACAAGCACTAAGGATCTGTTTCCTTCCCCTGTGTGCAGATTTGAGGCCTTTGAATTTTCAAAAAGATTTGCAATGAGCTTCGACAATCACTACCACCCCCCCCCAAACCCTTTACTTCCCCTCTTCCTGGCCTCTTTATTATTTATTTAGCCAGATCAAAGGGCCTTTTCATCAGGCTTGTATGCTGCTGAAGTCATTTCAGATCACAAACAATGGTGGACAAACTCTGAAAATAGCTCCCCATAGGACTAAGAAGGTTTTGAGCAGATTCAAATTCTCCCAAGCTCAGACTCTGTTCCCAAATACAGACTGGTTTCTTCCTCCCACTCCCCTGAAAACACAACACAGTATGTGCAAACATAAATGCAGAGAGACCTCACCATTTTCTTCTGTAGCAATACCCTCCCGTTGCTCCTTTGTATTACTCTTTTAGGTTCAAAGCCAGGCCAAAATCATAATACCGAAGTTCCCTCTCCCCAGCCTTGGATAGAGATGAGACAGTAAGAAAGCAGGTAAAGGAGAGCCATATTTTCAATCCACGTGAATAAAACTTCATCTTCACCCACGTGGCCATCAGCGTTTGGCTCAAGCCAAATCTACTTTCTAATCTAGAGAGAACCAGAACAGGCTGGGATTTCAAATTGTGCAAGGAAAATTAACAAAAGCCAAACAAGCAAGTCTTGAATGAGAAACAAAGCACACGCTTTCTACTCCTACGTGCTGGCCCACTGAAAAATCTGGAAAACTCTAAGGGAAGCTCTGGCCATTTTTGTTCCCCACACCATTACTGATTTCACTCACTTTCTTCTTTACTATGTGGCATTTAGGTGCAGCTTGAGCCTAAAAAAAAAAAAAAAAAATACTTTCCCTTGGCAGATGTAATTAAAGCACAGCTTAAGTACTGCAATAAGTAACTGCAAGTTTCTAGAATGAATCACACCACAACCTTTTTTTCCCCTTTCCTTAGAGCAAGCCTTCTGCGTGGCTCTGGAGCTGCATTAAACTTCCCCTTGCCATAAAATCAAGCTGGTCTGTTGTTTTTTGTTTGGGTGGTTTTTTTTTGGTTGTGCATTTTTTTCCTCTCTAAAAGGCGTCAGGTCTCTCTAGCTAAGCCAGTGAAAGAGCTTACAGTTCTTCCAGACACCGTCTGCAGCTGAACACAATACATGGTCTCATATAAAAGAGATGAAATCTTTGCTGAAAGATAATCTACCTCAGGAGTGAAAACAGTGGACTGAGTTTTATGCTTTCTTTTCTTATCTGGCTGCCATTTTAAGAATCTTGCTTACCTGACTGACCCATACTCAGGGGGATGTTGATACCTCATCATAGGCCCATCGGATCTTCCCTGCTGGCTCACGCGATGATCACTATAGAAATGCCCCGAGTCCTGAGGTTTGCAGTTCATAGATGGGGTGGACACATTTTTGTAAGGATACTCCGGAGGAGGACCCCTCTGCTCCATCCCTTTCATGCTGGGCTGGGAAGGTGGCTGCACAGAGTTCTTGTAGAACTCACTGGAGCCAGAATTTTTATAAGGGTCGCTCGACTGCTGAGGAGAAAGTGGAGAGAGAGGGGAGAGCGGTGCGCTCGTGACGGGCGCGTGCGCCTTGACACCACTGGTGGCCAAGGACAGCTGCATCAGCCTCTCGCTCAGGGAACGGACGTGTCCTTGCTTGAGGTCCTTAAGTCCTTCATCCTGGTGGACCTTCCCTGGGCTCACCCGCTGAACTGTGGGCCGCCCTTCAGTCCTCATTTTTTGGTTGGTCACCCCCGTTACATAAAACGCTGCCCCGACACTAGCATGCGGCTGGCCCCTGAAATACTGTGACTGCACTTTGGCTTCCTCATAGGTCGGGAGATCCTCGCTGTTCTGGAGTCGCGGGGAGAGCTGCTTCTCCATGATGCTGTTGTCCACCTGTATTTCCTGGCCCTGGGGCTCCTGACGGGCAGCATGAGTCACGAGCTGATGGTCCTGGGAGTTCAGCCCTTCGTTCTGAGATGCTGGACTCCCAGTGCTGTTGAAAGGGGGGGCATTTCCTGTGGCTTGCTGGTGTAAGGCAAGAAGGTTACGGTTGTCATTTGGGTTTCCGTATCTGAGCTGCTCCTGCAGCAGGCGTTGTAAAACTGTCGTAGCTGCTTGTTCTTCTGAATTCCTCATCTCAAACTGTGGTGCCTTTTGGGTGGAATGTAAAAGCTGCCCTTGACCTAAGGAAAGGAGACACGGTTATTAGCGCCTGAGTAGATCAAGCAGAAGACATTTAAGAGCAATAGCTTAAAATACAGAAGAAAAAGGCAGGTTAGATTACCAAAGGTTCCCATAACAATGAGGGTCATTAAGGCCCTTAGACCTTCGAAAGACTTGCATGCTAGGGGGCAAAGACTCAAAGGTGATGAAAGGTGACTTGCAAGTCTATAGGAATATCAATCGACTGCAAGCTGCAGGGATGCAGGCTGAATACCTCAGACAGCAAGGCTGCTTTCAGGAGAAAGGAGACCCATAATTCACAGGATGATGGTAAAAAAGCCTGACTCTTGTTTGTTTTGCACTTATAGCTACCAACAGTGAAATAAGTTCCCCATATTTGCAGGCAGGCAAAGATAAAAGGGTGAAATCAGCAAATTGTCAGCTTTAAGGAAGGGGAAAAAAAAAGTTCAGTTGAGATTGTATATGGATCACAGGAAGTAGATGCATCTCTTAGTTTAGATCAGTTAAAGCAAGTAATGAATACCTGGATAGCCAGCAGATTTTTAGAGTTAATAAATACGCAGAGTGAGATCAGTTCCTAGTCTCCCTACTGCAGAAAATAGTACATAATGGGGCAAGTGAGGACTCCATAACTTCCTGCTATACAAAGGCAACCAAATCCTCACACATCTTAATATCAGCTGAACACATGCAAATGCAAGAGGAAAGTAGTTGTAATCTTTTTTGTGCCTTAGATCAGACAAGTGACAGGAAAAAACACTGAACCAAGGAGAGAAATTCAAAGAGTGAAGAGATTCAACAGGCAGTAATCAACAGCAGTTAGCCCTCACTCAGTCTCCCAGTAAAGTCAGGAGTTTGTCAAGGAAGCTCATACCCATCGGCCTTGCATAAGCTGAAATATCCAAAATGAGTAACATCTCTGTGGCATTTAACTAGAAGCAGAACTACTTCTGAGCTAGAACAGTTCAGAACAGAGCATGCTTTACAAACACACATCAGTATTCTGGCACTACCTTCTGACATCTTTTTTTCTGTACAACATTGTCCCTTAGGAAGAGGCAATTTACTCACGCTAGCTCGTTCTCAGGCAGACCCAGGGATGAGCTGCAGGAGTCAGGAGACCTGGAGGTTTGCTTTGTTCCAGGTCTCCACAACCAGCCAGTTTCCTCCCTCAGCACTGCCCACCACTCGAGTCTTCCCCTGGAACAAAGGCCTCGATGGTTCAGGCAGACAGAACCCTTCCGCATAAGTTAATGAAGAGAAAGGTAAAATCCACCTCAGCCCCGAGCTGCCTCATCAAACTATGAATTTGGGCCTCACTGAATGGCCAAAAATGTGATTCTTCTGAAATCCTGTTTGAAGCGGCACATACCTACGTCCTTCACTTCGACTTCCTTGGGAAGGAGGAGCAGTTCTGGCACATGGGGGGACACAGCCTTCCTCCCGCACGTCCAAAATTTCCACTCAGAGATGGCTTCAGTCTCCTCTTCAGTGGGACAGATCACTTGATACTCTCCTCGCTTCCAAAATAATTCTGAGGAAAGCATTGAAAACATCATTTTAATCGGCAGACGAGACCCTAGAAATAACAAACCTTGGCCCATATTTAATATTTTTCTTTGTAGTTCCTTATTTTCTCCCAGAGCCCGGCAATTCTGATTGCTTTAGGATGAATGAACCCCCATGTCCCTAACAATCTACTCCAGCTGCTGCTTTAATCATGACAATTTCTGCTCCAAGATTAAATGCTGCCAACAATGCTCTGTTCCATCTGCGCCTCCAAGTGAAACAGTGATTAAAACCCACTAATTCTTTAACTCCATTGTTTTATTTTTTTGCTAAGAATGAAAGCTGCAGCACAGATGACAGTACTCTGTGCTTACAGCTCCTTTTTTCAGTGGTACTGTATATGGCAAATTAGAGCAGAAATTCTTCGACGAGAGGTGCTGTGCTTACGTGCTTCAGAAACTTACTACAAATTATGCTTCAGAAATGACTGAGAATGATCAGTATATAAGCATTAGCTTTATTTTACAGACTGGGAAAGTGAGAGAAAGAAAAAGACACTGCCAAAGTCTATGCCAGAAATACACTGCAGATCCCAGCTCTAATTCCCCAAACATTCTTTCATTACGTTACTTTTCCCTTTCTGAACATAAAGAGCTAAAGAAACTTTAACCATTAAGGGGAGAATCAGAAAAACGTGCTTCTAGGTACATTATTCACATGTAGTTAAATCTACTACTAAACGTGTCCTGAGCAAAAAGGCAAAGAAGCGAAAGAAGTGAAACTTGCTTGAGAACACTGTGTTTGTACTGTAAGGGTAAGCAATTAAAACTAGCAAAATTAAAAATATTCAGTGGGATGTATATTTTGACTTAATTTCCTGGAACGCTGTGAAAAATAAAATAAGCAGACGTAGCAGAGGAATGCAGACATGGACACTTCTGCCACCATCTCCTTACAGCACACAACACACCCAAGAAAAATTATCTCACATCTGCAAGTTAAATACTTGAGGTGTCAACAGCAATTTCAAGGCACATGAACAATATCTAACCAGGGAACAAGGCTGTGTTGTGTGGTGTGGTACTTCAAGATGGTGGCTGAAAAAAACTTCTAATGTCAAATTCTTAACTGGTGACTGAGCTCGAGAGGGATATATTGAAAACAGCTGCCAGCAAATATGCAGCAAAGAACCTTAAACCAGGCATTAAGATAGCATATAACTAGAGCAGTTTCTTGCCTCTTTTCCCAGTTTTGCACAACAGAAGTGAAGGATTCCTTTCTCCCCCAAGCTGGTAGAGCTGACTCTTCTTTTTCTCTCTTTAAAAAAAAACAAAACCAACAACAACAACAAAAAAAAAAAGCCAACAAAAAACAAAGTTGCCCTAAGCAACCTATTTTATTAGAGCATAAAAAGGCTTTTATTATGCAATATGATGCTGCCTTTCCACCCAAAGATTTCTTTTGTCTCTACTGGAAAAATGTAGGGGGAGGGGGGCTGGTGGTGTTTATTTTCTTAATACAAAGATATAACCCAGCTTGAGATTCTGCCTCTGCCTCAAAGATTCTCTCCACAGACAAACGCAATCTGTGCACGCTGAACTCACGCAAACGCCGAAGGAAGCGGTGCTGTATGTAACCATCTCACACACACCGCTCCACCTCACAGCCACATGAGCTCCTTCTGCTCTGCTTCTGCTGCTTCTGATCAGAAGATGGATGGGCACGGTTCACACTGCAAGGATCTGCTGGGAATGAATACTACCAATTTCAGGGCAGATGCAAAAATCAGCTCAGAAATCCAGAGAAAGAGGTGGATGGGGATGCAATACAAAGGTCCTCTGGCCAACAAACCCAGTTTCTTTGCACCACGCTGCCTTTCCAACCAAAGATTCTCTTTGTCTTAACCGTAAGACTGTCAGCACGAAGCCTAGCTTTTTTTCAATTCTACCCTATTATTTTTAATTAATAAAGAAAATCTTGTGCAATTAACTTGGGTGGCAGCATTCTTGGAATCCTCTTTCTGGGCAAGTTGGAAACTCGTGGCACAGACCAGTTAGCAGGGCTTTTTTATGTAACAAAACACAAAAATAAACAGCATCAAGGTTCTGAAGCCCATGTGCTATTTCTTTGGACATCAAATTCTATTTGCGTTTGGCTCTTCCAGCAATTTCAATACTAGTGTGCCAAACACTGAAATTAGTGAGGTGCACTGGAAAAGTTGTTATGATAGAGTTGGAAGAAAATTGATAGGTTGTGTAAATATTCTAAGCAGACATCTTTTTGAGTTTAGCCTAAATTTATTAAGATGGACAAGGTTGAATAGTTGACTACACTCGGTTCATTTCAGTCTATCAAATCTTGCAAAACTACTGGCTTATGCACTGCATGATACATTCTTCATAACCACAAAGCCTAGCAATACTTTGCTTTCCAAGTGGAACATTCAGTTTTCAAACAATTCTGCTTTAAGGAGCCACCGCGGTGTAGAGTTCCCAGGCTGAAAAGACTTGGCAGTTTGCTCCTGTGCGTCATACCTCATGGCTGATAATCCTGCCATTTTGCCCCAATCCCTACTCCTGAAATTACCCCTGGTCTGTTTGTATCTGCATGTTTCCAAGCCCAGAACTGGTTGAACTAACACAAGAACTGCAAAGTGTTGGATGCAGCCATGATGAGGCAGAGAATGAGCATAAAGGAGAGCTTAACAGGTGCTATTTAACAAAGAAAAGGCCAGTTTTTGCAGGGCATTGTGTAAAAGTGTAGTAACCAAAGCTTCTGTGTGAAACATCATGCAGTTGTGCACAGGAACCGTGCCAGACCATCACAAGGAAGAGAAATTAATGAAGATTTTAAAAAGATAATGCTGCCAGGCTGTCAGGAACCAAAGCAGCACATTTCTGTACAGCATGCAAATATTTTTCAGCATTACAAAAATAAACAAGCTTAGACAAGTGAGGTACTCACCACTGCTTGATGAGTGGCTATAATGCTATAGCACAATTAACCTGCATGGAGCAATAATAACCTCACAAGCGAAGAGAAGCATCTCTAGCTTGTGAAACAAGGAGGAATGCAAGAGTCCCTGTGAGGGCAGCCTGTATACACTTGCCCGGAGTGACTGCTTAGCCAAGAAGCTAATTAGCTTACGCATCAGGTGGGATAGAAACAGGTTCATCACCTCAAAAGCTCTATAGTACAGTTAAGCACTTTCAGTTTTACTACCAAACTTTGCGTCAGTCATATACAGACAGAACAATCCAGTGACAGTCAGATTTCAAACTCGAGCACTCAGCAAACATAGCTTCTTCAGACAGAAAGTTTCTAAGGGGCCCAAAGGTTTTGCTAAGTAATTCTGTGTTTCACATGTAATACTAAGCCTGGCTGCCAACAGGTGATGGGATGCTTATCAGTTAGATGAAGTCCTAAGTTGTTTTTTTAGGTACAGAGTTATCTCCAAACATACCTGCATGCTGTAATAGAGAAAGGGAACACAAACCAGAGATGGCACGGAAAGAACAGCCTGTAAAGTCCTCGAGCAATAGCAGAGAGCAGCTCACATGCTAAGCCACTCACTGTTTAACAGGAATATGCCCTCACTACACAGCCTATGCGAAACTCAGCATGCAGATTGCTTCATACTGCAAAATTCACAATGCCTGTAAGACCACTGGAAACACAGCTCTTCTGCACACACACTCCCTTTGAATGGTTAGGAGCACAGGTCTCATAAGGGTGGGGTCCAAAAATTAGACCAGACTATCACTGCATGCTCTCCATTTCATTGCAGCCCTACCCAAGTAGGAGGAAGGGAGAACACATAGACTGAGAGAGTCTCTAAGAATAAATGTTCCCAAGGCCAATACCCATGAGGCAGCACACAACAAATGCCACAGCTCTGATAGTGCTTCAGTACCTGCTCCAAGCCAAAAGAAGCTTTAGGCTCCAGCCATAAGCACTTCCACAGCTTCCACTCAAGCATCCCATCCCTGCTTGCCTGGATCTGCTGACTGTGTCTCAGGTGATCTTGGAGGGTGGCACTGAGCAGGTGCATGGAGCAGAGCCAGCATTACTCATCTTCATACCAGAGGGACAGAGTCACTGGGCAAACAAGAAAAACTTCCTTCTTTTAACTAAAAACAAGAACAACGTCACCCGGAGGGGTGCAAATAATGCACATACCCTTTAAATTAGCTCATCTGGCAATGATAGTGAGAGCCACCAGAACACCCAAGCACTGGTCCCAGCTCTAATGACTCTGAGCCCACCTTGGCCCTACCTTGCCCGAGCCACCACCCGTTCCCCTCCAGCGCTTGTGGGACCAGGCCTCGGCCACAGAACAGTGCAAGGAAGCCTGGAAGGCTTTAAAGAAAAGCAGCAAGTCATTTGGACTTGGAAAGAAGTCAGAACACCAACACAGGAAAAGCCCCTCTAAATAACAGCACCATGGAAAAACTCAAAAGGCCTTAGAATTACTTCTCTCTCACTGGAAAGTATCAATTTCTTCACAAAGAGGTACCTATAATCTTAACTGACATAATTTAGGCTTGGCATTAGAAAAAAAGAAAAAAGAAGAAGGACTCACAGAAGCTGGTATAAATAGGAGTGCTTCATGACTTGAGGCATTTTGATAAGAACATTATGGAACTTCAGAAAGCTCAATAAAATTTTGAAAGTAAAACTCAGAGAGACGCTTTTTCTGAATACACTGCTCTAACAGAAAAACCAGTCTAGGTACACTCATCCAGCTGTCTGTACTGGAAATATTTCTAAGTGAATACCATACCATTCCCTTATTTAAACTGCTATGCAGCACTACCAGGCATATTGACACATCAGTGCAGACGGCCCTTCAGCAGCACGTACTGCCATTTCTGCATATTTCATGAAACACCAGCTCCAAAAGAGGCAGCAGGAGCTCTGCTGCTAGCTTCATAAAGGCCAAGATCTCACCTTTTAGATGTCATCTCAATAAAACCATCGAGCTTACACCGCTTTAGTCACACCAGGTCTTGTTTCAGAGATCTG